ATTTAATCCAATATATATTTATATACATGAATAGTGGGAAATTTACCTTGAAGTACTGGCAGTTATATTTCGTGTATAGAATTATCTATTATCTACAGAGTAGAGATACTTCACTAGTCAATCTATTTCGATATATATCTACATAATGTATGATCTACATATATATCTATATCCATATCTATCTATATCAAAGATGATCCAGCTAAGTCTGTCGACCCCTTTTAGTTAGGGTATCGATGACGCTCTGTTATTTTCTGACATTGGCCTTGAGCGCTGGGTTGGGTGGGACAAGTGAGCAACTGCTCTCAGGGGGGAGGAATTGCGTGTCGACAGCCCATATGATATCCGATGGAGCAGTCCGTTGGGCTCTGTGCGACCGTGACGTCAGCAGCGTGCCAAGCTGATGCAATTAGCCGGCTTTGGCGTCGTGCTAATCATCGAAATGGCAAGCGGCGTATTATTTTGGGACTTCGACTTCGGGTTTGATTTATTAGCGCCAATTCGAATGTTAAACCCTTCTCCTTTCTCTGCTCTCTCCCTCTCTGGCGCAGACCGCTGGCTTTGACACCGGGAAATTCGCCGTACTGCGAGCGCTTCTGGGAGGGACATCGCTACCTGAAGGAGCGCCAGCGACTGCATCAGCAGCTGCAGCCGGACGACTTGCGCTACAAGGAGGTCAAGATACTGCGCTCGCCCAACGGCAAGTTCTTCCTGTCCAAGACGCTCGAGGAGGAGCTCAAAGATGAGAAGCATGTGCTGGACTTCATCGAATCGGAGCTGCAGCGCGGCGACATTCCCGAAATGATGCCCGAGCCGAACGAGCGGCAGCGCCAGGCTCTGGACGAGCGTGCCGAGCTCGACCGGCAGAAGCAGCAGGTCAGCGAGTGGCGTGCCCAGCAGCGCATGGCCGAGCATAAGCGCGCAGAGCAGCAGGTGACCAAGCGCATGCTGAAGAAGGCCAAGCAAATCAAGCATCAAACTCAAAATGACACCATGTGGACACCCAAGCGGCAGCACCGACAACAGCACCCGCAGCCAGTGCACTTGAACGCCGACATGGAGCTGGACCTGGACCTGGAACTCGCCGAGCTGCCTCAGAGGAGCGAAGAGGAAACCCTAGTTGGCAGCCAAGAAACAGACTACAGCTCAGACCACATCCTGGATGAAGGCCAAGAATTTATCTTACAGCTCAACAGCGACTTTGATGATGACACTGATGCTACGCCACGTCCCTCTGGCACCGAGGGGACCATCCAGGAACTGGACAATGACTTGGCCGACACACGGGAGCAGCGTCGCCAGTTCCAGAACCAATGCCAGAACAGCAGCTTCTACGGCAATGCCAATTGCCTGACTCCCTGGACATTGTACTCCAAGTAAATACATCCTCTTCTCCCTCTCTCTCTCGCTTTTTCTTATCTAACATCTCATCCACGCAGCATTAGCAGCAATCTGGTTGAAGAAATGACTCGGAATATTGACGCCGAGCTGCATCGCAGCATCGCCGGCTTCATCAAGGACTTCGTGGATAAGGAGACGCGCACAACCAACAATCAGACCGATTAATGGTCCCAGCTTCCGGCTTAACTTTAATTCAGCTGCCGATGGATCAGTTAACACAACTTCCTAATCAAGCAGCCATCAAATTGTACGTGCACCAAATGTACATGACTATGTACATCTATATATATATATCATCATTTCAGTTTGTGCCTCATCTAAAATAAAGCAATTGCAAAAGTCATAAAACCTAAATGACCCAAAACTTTTCACTAACTATTTAATGCATTCGGAAAAAAGACTAGACCCTTCCTTCTATGTGGTATTGGTAAACCGTCTAAAATGAACTATTAATTCGATCTAAATTAGTTTTGCCTAGATACGAACATTGTGAATTGAAGTCTTAGCCGAGGCGAATCCTATGCTCAAAAGACAATATGGAATCCCAATTAGGACAGTAGACAGTGTGTAGCTATAATAATCGGATGTATTATGCATAGGATCTAAATAACTTTTATTATTTATTTATTCTGGCTTCTATTTGAGCTACGCTTTCATTTAAGACATATTTGTGGATAGTCGAGAGATTAACTCATTTTTATGAATATAAACATATAGTTAATGCCAAATACGGCAAGTGCACAGGTTAAACCACATACTCAACGCCTTTTAGGAAAAGATGTACTTCATTGTAGTGTTCCTGGATATTCAGCAGGCGTTTGATCGTCTGATTGTTTGATCGGCTGTCTGGTAGAAATAAGTGGGACCTACCAATTGCCCAAGGAACAGACGTCATCCTCAGCTACTTCCTTGACTCAACCCCGTATTTTCGTACACAGCTACATCTGAATTTAACACATAAATTGAGAATGGAATCATTCTGCTAACCTACAGGATGACACCGTCATCCTTTGACGTGACCTCCATTGCTTTTGGTGTTGCTGCTGCTCATCATTACTGAGATTAAAAATTCCGAGTGCCACTAAGTTCAATTATTTTATCAATTTTCATACAAGTTTGGCTTTTAAAGCACATATCAGACACATAGCCAATATATACCAAGCCTAAATAAAGTGCTATGAAATTCGTATTAGGGGTGGTAAGCTATCGAAAGTGGGCGAGTATTGACAAGGCGTCGTGACTCAATAGTCCCCAATATGAAACAAGTGTAATTAAAATTTTTTTTTAAATTATACTTGTTAAGCTTTAATTTTTACTGGACGTTATATAGATCAAATTTCCTCCTTCACCCATGTCTTATTATAAGTCCTCCTGTGCATATCAGAAGGTTAGGCTCTTTATATTATTTTCTAACTGTGTTGTTAAGCTACTATAATTGCATTGCACTATGGGAAAAAATCCCATTTTTTTGGCATTAATTCCAAATAATGAGCTAGAGATATGAAATTTTTTGTGGATGCTCTTCAGACTTTAATTTAATTTCGGATTTTTTTGGTTTTTTCAATTTGACCCTGATTTGACCCCTATAATTTTTTTCTTTGATATTTTTTGCCGTTAGTATGAATTTGACAGTTCTTTTCATATTTTCATATTGTTGAACTAAAATTAGTCTCATTCTTCTTCTAATTCAATATTAAATGCAATATCCTCGTCTTCTGTCCATTCGTCACTTGAATCACCTTCATGATTTTTCAAAATATGGTCGGGAGATTCAAATTGTGCAACGACTTCAGTCGGAATATTCCTTTTTTAATTTAATTTTTGGCGTTCATTTAGGCAAAGGCTTGATAATAGAGGATCCGAAGAGTCTAATGCTCTGTTGAAAACATCAGTTATGTTATTCAATCTGCTGCATTTTCTTGCATGAGATCTTCTGTCATTCTTGTATATTTTATTTCTGGCTTCAGATGCGTTCTCTCCAAGCACTCCGACAGNAATTTTCGGGAAAAGGGGCAAAAACGGGCAAAAGTTATTAATGGGTCCTTATAGTATATGGTTTAGTTAATTACCCTCAGCTAAAACTGCCGAGGCCTAGCGAGGACTGTTAAAGTTATACTCCACAGAACACAAACATATTTGTTAGGATTAAGCTAAAAATACACATGAACAACACATTGCACAGTTACACAAAAACACAGAAGTATACAAAATCACTACGGACACTTATTATATATACCTTTATTAACTTTTTCCATATTAAGTTTTAATTTATGCGATTAACAAATAAATTTTATACAGCTAAAAAGTTGCGATCTATTTGGCGCGCTTTTTCACATTGCAATGCAGCGCTGAATCAGCTGACTTTGTAAAATTATCAAATAATAGGGGTAGTCCCCAAAAATTTAACAAAAATATTTTGATTCTATCTAATGAATTTAGAATTGGAAAAAATATTTGTTTAGCGGTTTGAGACAACAAAAAAATTGTATTAATRCCAAAATATCGTACTTTTTTCCCATAGTGCATTGTACGGATAAATTAAAAAAAAAAAAAACATGTCTTACAGTCCTAGACGTTTGCCCCGCTGAATCCTAGCTCCTATCCCACGGATGTTGTCGAAATCCACAAGTAGTTTACCCCTAAAGGTTTTAAAGGATGAATAAATAGTAAACCCGGTTATCCTGACGCTTGATGTGTGCACACAACTAGCGATGACACTATCGGTAGTGTGGCACCATCGATAGTAGGACGGCCATCGATGGCACCGACCCAATGCCTCGGATCAAGAATAACGGGTGGATACACATAAATTATGTGACATAATAACCCCATTGGAAAAGTCTATGAATTCTAATTAAATTCACGATACCTTCATCTGCCTACTACATCCATTTTCACAAATCTATATATTTGATTTCTATTTCCAATGGATCTAGGGTATTCAAAAAGTATGCTTAAAAATATTAAAATTTTAAAGAGAAGCCAAACTGGAGATACACCTTTATAGTTATTATTTATAATGCCTCATATCATTACAATTAAACACACACTATACATAGATGATGTTGGGAGAGGATAGTTCTACTAAACTGCCCATAAGTATGTGTTTAATTGTCACATTCAATTCGCCCGAAGATATGCAGCACAGAAAGGCAGTTCGATGTCTAGAAAAATTCGCATTCTGTTTTATTATTTAATTACTTTGTCAAATGTATGGAAATTAAATTCAATTTATACAGTTGCGGTCAATGCACTTAGCAACTAACTAGTAACTAGTATTACAAAATAGACACTTTAGAACTATGGAATATGCCGTCGATCGGAGCCATGCATATATGTCTTTTTCGTCTTTCAATTTCAAGAGTACACAATCAGCTAGTGTCAATGGGTGTGAGTGTTTGTGTGTGGGTGTGTGTGTGTATGTAGGTGTGATGTCAATAGTGGTTTGTCTTGTGTGTGTTACAAATGCTGTGTCTTTAAAAGTAATGGCTACTTATTACACATAAACTAACTTAATTACAGACTATGCTTAGTGCGATTTGTGTGTCCGCCTGTGAGTGTATATATATATGTATATGCATAAATATATATATTTAAGCCTATGTTTGTGTGTGTGTGCTTGTTTGTATAAAAAAAAAGTACAATAAATACGTTGCTGAGCTAAGGAATTGTACACACAGTATCCGTGGGGACATGCGGCAAGTTGTGCCCTCACAGCAGATTGGAGCAGCTGACCTCGGAGGCGGCACAGTTCGTGGAGCGCGGCAGGAATTGAATGTGCTGCCAGGTGGCATTAAAGCTGCACCAAACCAAAAGAGACAGACATAGGGGGAAAGAGAAAGCAAGAGATTAGTGAGCAGATCAATGAGAGGCTAAGGGCCCAGCTACACTTACAGATAGCGCTCGGCCAGCTGCCGCTCCACATGGGGCTTGATGCGCGCGTAGTCCTTGTCCGCAATCGTCGTGCTGCAGTGCTGCTGCATATATGCGAGCGTGAAGAGTTCGTTCTCGTTGAAGGATCGCAGGCCGGGCACACGCAGTCGCCGGGTCAGGCCCAGCGCCTCGTAGGTGACCGCCTGGTCGATGCCGGCGCCCTGTATGGCCGTGCCAGCATCGATGGCCGTCACAAAGGTGGTCAGCGCTCGTGCGGCCGTCCGAGCGGCGCTCAGTGTCACATGGAAGCTCTTCAGCGCCTCCGGCGAAAACGTGCGCAGCTCATGCACCAGGTGCGGCGGCTGGCCGGCGGACAGACAATTGATATCCGGCTTGGCATACTCAATCTCCGGCACGGCATCGCTTATGTCCGTGCTCTGGGCATTGAACTGCAACAGGAAGGTGGGGAAATTGTTGATCAGCGTCTCCAGAATGTCCGTGCCAATGCGCGCGAAGTTCACGGCCCTGCGGTGCGGGAAGGAGAGAAAGAGAGAGAGAAAGAGGTTGATTGACGAACTAGGTAACCAACGGCGGAATACCTACACAGGATAGCGATAGTCGTAGTAGTTGTTGTTCACCAGCACGCGCGATATGAGCAGCATGTTCAGCTTGTTCGAGTAGGCAATGGGCTGTGGATGATCCGTCGTGTACATCTCGGACACAATGCTACAAAAAAGAAAAGAGAAAGCCTTTCGATTAAACCAGATCCGAGTACGTGCACTCAAGCTAGATCTCCACTCACACATCCAGCATGCCCAAGGTCTTCAACTTGTTCTCCATGCGCGACCGGCGGAAGGTCCAAATGGACTCCAAGTGCTCCACAAAGTTGAGGTTGCTCAGCAGCAGATCGTTGTAGTAGTTGCTGATGTAGTCCGGCTGCTCGAGCACCTCGTTGGGTATGCCGAACTGCAGCCGCATCTCGGCGAGCTTCTTGTGCATGAACTGTCGCGCTGTCGGCTCCAGCCAGCTGGCCTGCGCCAGCGAATCCTGCAGCTGGTTACGCAAGCTGTAGAACATCAACTGGAGGAACTTCTCGTTGCCAGTCGTCTTGTTGAGGCCGTTTGGCTCGTTGCTGCGCACGCGCCCCGCACCCTCGAACTGCTGCTTGGGCGGCTGCTGCTGCAGTGCGTCCACGGCAAAGGGCACCCAATCCCGCACCACCTTGCTGCAAAACAGCCAGCGTGGATAACTGGCCGTGCGTCCATAGATGGCATGATCAAAGTGCTCCGCCAGCGTGCGGTACTCCTTCGACAGGTGCGGCAACATTTGACGCGCCAGCGACCAGATGATGAAGTTGTTAATGGGCCTGCAAACAAAAAGGAAACAATTATAAATATATTCCATTTTGGAGAATATATCTCAAGTATACTTCTTGTCCGACGTGGAGATCAGCGTGGATAGCTCGTGAAACACTTCCACATCACGCACCAACACTTCCGTCTCCTCACTGATTCGCGTGTTGGGAAAGATGGCCTGCAGCGACTCCAGAACGGGCAGCTGTGACAATAACAAGACAAGAGATTTAAGACGGATATATAAAGGTAGATTGGGACAGTGATTGATGGATATATAAAATAATGTGTCAACTCTATTATAAAGTATGTCAAGAATATCTCTCTATATTAGGGACCTGCATGGCTTAACTCTAGACATACGTAAAATGTAATGGACTCTTATTTAATTGAATTGAGTGAAGACGGAACCGAAACCCCAATGGCGCTATTCTTTTTCCCGTACGCACGATGAAACAAGAATTAAAATTTCAATTGGCATTTGAATGCATTCGACATTCGCATTCACTTTCTTTAGCTACTACTATCTTTTATTTTCCTCCTCTCTTCTCTGCCCCTTGGCAAAACAGTTGCTTTCCGCCCGCCCTGGGCTAGTTAATAAGAATGTGTTTCCCCAAAAAATTGACCAACTACAAAGCTTCCATACCAATATGAGAATATTTGTTCGCATGAGTTCTCTTGAGTAGCACGAGGCTAAGTCTTGTACTTTATCAACATACTCGTGTCCTTCAGTGAACA